GTCCCTAGAGATTCTTCCAGACCAAATCCTGTAACAAAAGTCTTCCTACAGGTTACTGATGGAGAAGAACTCACATGTCAACAGTGTAACTTCTGAAAAAGCACATTATCCTCCATCCTTTTAGGGACTCTTCACTAGAGCCTGTTTTCTGCATTAACCAACACCTTTATCACGACTTCCTAAAGACATGACACTGCATCTGTACAGTGCAGGGTCTCTGTGGTTGTGGAGGTGCAAATAAATTAACACTGAGGACAGCAGAGCTTGTTCTATGAGGAGAGAACAAATATAAGCGTAAAACAGGAATCCAGAGTCAGGTACAACCCTCTTGTCCAGGTTTCTGCCAGCTTTCCTGTGCCAGAACAGGATAACAAAACCAGATGTGGAAAACAGGGAACCAGAAATTAAGTCTCTACAAGCAAGGAAATGACAGGTAGGAAAATCATAATCAGATTTCAAGGAGCAATTTCAGCAATGACCAGGATCTCTGTCTACCTGGCACGACCCACTTCCATACCTGTTATCCCATCAGTGCCACGCTCACATTCCTGCTCGAGGCTACACCTCCCCCTGCCAGCACCTTGTACAAATGGCAAAGCATTTCACAGTCACTACGAAATCTGTCACATCCCAGACATGAATTTAAATCACTACTTACACAACGAAATGTCCCTCTACCAGCACGTCCCCAAAATGGGAAATTCACTTTATACCTCCCCTGGAAGGACAAAGGGGAAGTGAATATAAAAATAAACACTAACGGTCGCTCAGGTTGTATGCAAACACAGCAGCACCCAAATCACCCAGAGGGGCAGCTGGTGATGCAAAAACCAAATTGATTTGACTGAAAACAACGAGTTATTAATTTAAACAGAAAAATACAATTGAGATTAAGGACCCAATAAAAATATTTCGGTAGAGGCCCCCAAAATAAAGGAAGAGAACAATACTTATTAAAAACTAACCTGGTTTTCAGGGCAAGAAAAGGAATCAGAGTACTAATATAAACAAAGATGTAAAATAACATCATGGTGATGGAATTGGATTGCACTGATTAAAAACAATGAAAATAAACAATGAGTATACACAATCAAGTGTATTAAAGCCAGGAGGTAAAATTACCTGGCCAGAAAAGTTAAGGACTTTCAAAAAAGATCTTTTTGATGTCCATCAAAACCCAAAAGAAAAACCTATCAGGGCCACTAAATCAAACTGTGGAACTGTTAATCCTGTGAATATTCCTATAATATCCATCCCCTGGTGTTGCTGCAAACAGCATTTTCTAGGAGCAATCCAAAACACACCAAAAAGCAGATGCTGAAGGTGTTTCTGTCATGGGAATTGGATCATTTGCAAGCAGAAGTCACTGTGATTTTTCAAAAAGGACAATTAGGGAAGTAAACACTCATCTTGCACACAGAGCTCTATGCCAGGCTGTTAAAGAAATGGCTTAGGTGGGAATTGATGAATAAAGATGGATAATAAAATTAAGACCAGCCAACACAGTTTATGAAAAGCCAGAGCTCCTACACTCAGCTAATACCTTCTTAATGAGAGCTCTGTGTTATCAGGGGGGTAATTCTTCTGCAAACCATTAAAGAAGTATCAAGGGACAAAATGATTAATTAAAATCCTACAAAATCAATAAAACACATTTAAAATTATTAAAATGCAGCTGCAAACAGCTGTCATTGAGCATGTGTGTTTCTATTACCATCCCACAGAGATTAACTCTCTGCCTGTCCTGTTTTTCTGTATTTTAGATTAGGAAAGGAGTTGGGAGAGACACCAACCACCAGGCTTGAGCTGTCTGATGATCCAGGGAAGGGAACTCTTGGACAGCCCATCATTTTTCCAAACCAACCACATTGTGGCCTTGTCCCAGGTGTCTGACTCCACTCCAACACTGATAATTGTGACCATGTCAATCACTTCTGTCATTTTTTCAGATCAAGAATGGAGCAATCCATGATATGGATGTTTGTTAGCAGGAAAATGTCAAAGCTTATTGCCACGAGAGCCAAATATAAAGTGAAATTTAACACAGTATCTTGATTTCCCTCTTCGCTAAAATAGGAAGATGCTCACTTTAAAAACATGACCAAACTCATCACGGATTTCTACACGTGATCTAATGAAGTATCTTTTAGAATAATGTTTCATTAATTTATACCAATGACTTACTTGCTCTCTCCTCATCTCAAATTACATATAAAAGCTACAGTGAACCACACAACACTCTGCTTCGTGCATGTGTAGCTTTATGATGTCTCCATGCTCTCATTCCTGTTCTCCATCCTCCGGTGTCCATCACAAACAGGCTTGGTTTAGTCTTCTGAAAATACAGTTTTACACCTTCTCCTTTTATTCATTTAGTTCCTTCACCTTCTCAATATCCAGATATGTGGCTACCTTGATGTGAGTGATCTGGGCAGCTCTGGCATCACCCCAATGATCTCAGGAACGTGTAAATACTGCTCAGTAACAGCAGGGGATCAGCTCTCAGACCACCATGGCAGTTCCTCTGTGTTTGGCTTTCAGGAAAATTCCTTCTAGAAACTCTGGGCAAGAGCCTTGTCCACAGCCAAGGACCCAAAGCACAGTCTGAGTTTCAACAGCACACAATAATCTCAAACATCCTATTTAAATTCCTATTTTCTACTGTTTGACAGTTTCTTTGAAAAAAAGTGTAATTAAAATTGACCCAGTGGGAAAAGAAAAGGCTCAAAAGAACTCAAGGCCCAAATTTTCCAAATGCAAAGCTGATGGCAACAATTATTTCACTTTCTGTTTCCAGTCTGCCTCTGACACTGGTACCTAGAAAGCTGTTTTAATCCAAACACCAAAATCTAAGAGGAGAGGAGGGACCAGGAAGGAGATGAAGAAGAGGATTTTAAGCAAATACAAAAGCCACCCCCACAAGGGTCTTTTCTGTTATCAAAAAGGGCTGTACCCAGTCTGTGATTTTTGAGAGTTTATACAGAGACAATGGACTGAGCTTTGGGCTTTACTGGAGTCAAACTGGGCAGTAAAAATGATAAATGGTTTTGCCCAGCTGTAATTACAGCTTTATTTAAAACCAGAAGGGTAACAAGGAGTACCTTGTGTGTCTGCAGAGTCAGGGACAAAGTGTTGTCAGAAAAGTAGCTGAAACTGTCTCACTTCAAGGCAGGCCCATATCACAGTACCATAAAATGGTTTGGGATAGAAGGGGTGTTAAAGCCCATCCAGTTCCACCCCCTGCCATGGGCAGGGACACCTTCCACTTGCCCAGGTTGCTCCAAGCCCTGTCCAACCTGGCCTTGGACACTTCCAGGGATGGGGCAGCCACAGCTTCTCTGGACAACCTGTGCCAGAGCCTCCCCACCCTCCCAGCCAAGAATTCCTTCCCAATATCCCATCTAACCCTGCCCTGTGTCAGTGGGAAGCCATTCCCCTCATCCTGTCACTCCAGGCCCTTGTCCAAAGTCCCTCTCCAGCCTTCTGGATATGCAGTTCCTTGTGCCTCTGGGCCTGGAAGCAAAAGATGAAATTCCACATTGCTTCAGACCCCCAGAACTGCTTTCCCTGGTAACACTGTTTGAAAGAAGTTTGCTCTGAGGCTGGACACGTTAAACGACGTTTTTAGTGAACCCTGCCAGCTGCCAGTGCCCGCTGGCACCCTGGCACCCCCAGACACGCAGGTCTCCTTGTGCTTAACGGCTCTGCCTCTGCTCTATCCCTGAATTTTGGCCTTCAATGCCACGTTAACACCCGGGATGGAGCTTCCTCCCAAGGTCCGGGCTCATCATCCCCCTGAACCAGCACGGGGTGACGTCACAGAGATGACGTCATGTGATCGACGTCATATCGTTGATGTCACCCCAGGGCCATGCCAGTCCCGCGCCACCGCCTCCCCGCCGCCAGGTGGCGCCACGCCGCGCTGACGGCGCCGGCGTCATGACGTCACCCCGCCCGCCCGCGCTCTGCTCTGAGCGCTCCCCGCCCGTCCCGTCCCGTCCCGTTCCGTCCCTTTCCGCCCCGCAGCCGACCGACCTGTCCGCCTCGCCCTAGGGCTGCAGGCCCTCCCCGCACCCTGCCGCCAGGGCCCGGGGAGCCCCCGGTGCGCCGCCGGAGCGCATGCGCGGGGGCGCCAACCGTGTCGGTAGTCCCGCCGCGCGCGCGGCGCGCATGCGCAGGCCCGGCTGGAGGAGCGCTGACAGGGCCTCACCCTGCCCGCGCGTGCGCACGGGCTTCCCGCCAACGGTTGCCATGGAGACCGCCTCCCCCTCCCCACCCGCTGTCTTCTGCCCGCTCCCTTCTTCCCGTCCCCTCACGGGGCTGGCGGTGGCTCCTCTCGTCCCGTCCCCATCCCGCTCTCGCCCTCCGGGAGAACGGCCCGGCGCCTGCTGAGGCGAACCCGGCCCGGCGGCCACCGGGGGCAGCCGCGCGCCGCGGAAAGCGGCAGCGGCCCGGCCACCTCACGGCCCCGGCCTGGGGTGACGTCCAGTCAAACCGAGGGGCGGCTGGTTAGGGCCTCGGCTCCGGCTGTCGCCGAGGTGAATGGCCAGTCTGGGATGAACACCGGCGAAAGGGGAAAAGCACACGGCGTAGTATTCCTTGTTCGTGTTTTTAAAGAATTCTAATGTATGAAGTCTTTACATGTAAAACGTCAGGCACAGCTGTGCAGCTGCAGCCGGTTACAACTGTGATGTTTTGGGGTTATGATGGCTGTTGTGCTGCTCATACGGAAATTTATGGGAATACTGAAATTTCAAGGTGAGCAGTTCCGTAGCTCAAGCTTTTCCCAAGCTTATCTGTCAAAAGAATGACCACTGCCTTTTTATTTTGTACTTTAATACCTGGAGTTGGACAGGAAAACTTGAGCCTTTTTCCCACTACGTTCAGCTCTGGCTCAAAGTCCTCACACTGAGTCTTACCTTGAAGTCAGGATCAACAGTAACTTCCTCCAGATCATCAGTTAATTGTGGCCAAAGGTCTGCAGGTATAAAATCACCTGAGGTGCAGTGGGGGTTGGGGTGTTCATGCACTGGATTTGCATTTTGAATGTGTGATTTGTGTTGAAATCCGAATTTCTTTCTCAATGCTTGGTCTGGCTGTGGCAAGAACCAAAATCCCTCCTGGGCAACACTTCTCAACAGGCCAAGATGCAGAGGGAAGAGGTTTAGTGGAACATGGAACACACCAGAGCTTCATAAACATCAAGGCAGACACTTCACTAACTAAAAATGAGTTCTAATGGTGAGCAATAGAATGTCTCCTTTACATGTAAACATTTTCCCATAATTATATCTCTATCCGTAATTTAACATTACCAAAAGAAACAGACGCAGTTTCTTTTTGAAACGTTGCCTGTTCATTCCATGGTAAAAGTTGTAGATAATTTTTTTTACTATAAGGTTTCCAAGCTCCTGAAGCACTTGTGAGTTTTCACTTCCAGCAAAGAAATTTTACTTTTTAACCCATTCAAACAATTTTAGCTGGAAACCCTTGAATTTTAAGCAAAAAAATGGTTGTTTTGGCAGGACTGAGGGGTGTATTTTCTGCAGTGAATCCCATCAGGAGATTTACCCCCATCAGTACAAGAACTCGAAACTGATGTGAAGAAATCCTTTGGTTTGTGTCTTTCAACACTTCTGCTGGTTTATTCAAGTTCTTTCTCAAGTCACTGCACTGATGGGAATTAGGAGCCCTCTGAAGAAAATCCTGCAAGAACTTGCAAGTGCCCATTGCACAAACAGACTGAAAATACTCCAGTTACGTACTGAGACATGACTAAGCCCAGGCACAGGAGCATCTGTCTGCAAAAGGCCCTAAATTGAACTCAAAAGCACTCAAAAGCCAAAGGAATTGTGGCATTCCCAATGAAGACGGATCCAAAAGCACCAACACTTACTGGTTCACCCTGGCTGCCAAACAGGTATCTCTTTCACAGGGCATTTGAAGGCCTCTGAGCATTCCTAAAGGCAACAAGGATGTGGTTTTCCAGTCACTGTTTGTTCCCGACATCAGAGGACACAGCCACAGTGACAGGCACAGAGAGGAGAAGCAGCCCTCCCAAAATCAGGCAGCTGATCAGAGGCAGACTGTCTGGCTCTCCACATAGACCTACTGGACTTCCACAAGCAATTTTTGACTAATTCTCGTTCCCTCCCCAGCAGGGAATGGCTCTGTGTCAGAAATGGCTCAGGGCCCCAGTGCTTCAGACTCCAGTAGGAAAATCTTGGCTTAATTTAAAGTGTACTCACCCCTGAATTACAACTGTGTGGGTGCAGGCAGGTCCCTGAAGCAGCAACACTTGGGATCCACGCTGTGAGAGGCAGGAAATTTACTGTCACGCTGTGGTTTTGAGTTGTCTCTGCAGAAAACAACGATTATGGGACTTGTGAACAAGATTAGGTGACATTAAAAGGTTTTTAAAGTAACTGCTTGGATTCACCATGCAATGGGATTTATAGTAAATGTGGTTATCTGCAGATCTATGAATACACAAATTATGTATTCTGTATAATGTTCATGTTTATCTTCAGTGTGCTGCAGTCAGCATTTGTGTTTCTCTTTGCTCTGTCTCAGGGCAGATCCCCTGGTCTCTGTTAGGACTTGTAACACTGGTGGCTCTTTGGCAGCTCCAGCTTAATTTTCAAAGCTTTTCCATACAGGTTGATCAATCCAGGTCAGCAGTGATCAGAGAAGCAGCCACAGAGGCCAATTCCAGTGAGGAGAGTTTGGGTTTGCATTAATTTATTGTGTTGATTTCCTTCTCATGGACTTTGGCCATGCTGGATGACACAGCTCAGCACAATACTCAGAGCAATGTCTTGAAAGAGCCAAACAAGCAAGAAGGCAGCATTTTCCTCAAAAGTGGTTTGGTTTGCTTTATTGTAAAGTAGGAATTTTAGGATGGTACAGGCCACTATATTCATCTCCTCTTGTAAGCATGTTCCTATTCAGTAAGTCCCAGGGCACAAGTTCGAGTGATATAACCCAAAATTCATCTTGTTCTCCTGGGCAGTGAAGTGAATTCTCATTTCCAAGGAGAATCAGAATCATTCAATAAGGACACTGGGCATTAAAGGATCTCTAAACACGGTAAAAATACAATTCCCAACTGAAAAACCTAATCCCTGTCCTTTGATTTCTTGCAGGATGCTGCAAGGTAGCTTTGAACACTTGTTTTTTAAACTATCTGCTAAACCACTTGAGGCAGAACAGGTCCAGTGATCAAGATGCATCAGTGAGACAAAGCTCCAGTTGAATCTCCCTCTGTCTCCTGACACAGCTCCAAATTCTCAGTTTTCTAAGGATTTAATGTGGGACAGTTCCATGAAGGACTGACTTGCTGATTTACTTCTGGTCTTGGTTTTAGACCCAGTTACCTCTTGTTTACTTGGGTTGCAAAAGGAGAACAAGCTTTGCTTGGCTCCTCAGACTGCTGTTAACTGATCCCAAATCCCCTGCAGGTCATGTCGTGACATTTGGAATAACATTGAATGGATGTTTAAGGACAATTCATTAAACACCTTTTGCCACTCATGTTTAAAAAGCGGGGGAAATTCTGCTTTTTTTCCCCAATTTTTCATCCTTCCTGCTGCTGTGAATAGATTAAAAATGAGACCATCAGGAGTCCTTACAAATTTACTTACTGAAGCTTTTGGTCCTTGTTCTCCGGCCAACTCCTCCATTTCAGCCAGGACTTAGGGCAGACTTCACCCATACCCACCTGTTCACGTGCCAGATTGATTCCAGGAGGAGTGCAATGGGAAGGGCCTTGTGATTTGAGGTGGAATTCTTGCTAGAAGGAGCTCCAGCAACAAGGAGTTCTGTCCTGGGAGAACGGGAAAATGAGTGTCCAGGCAGAGAAACTTCCCTCCTGGCCTGGGCTGTGTTGAATCACAGCATTGGCCACAAAGAAGTGTCCCAGAGAAGATGGAGGTGAAGAGTAAAGGGGGAGGTGAAGGAGAAACAAAAGATGGTTCTGAGAGCAGGTGGAGAATAAATGACTTTTTTTTTTTCCCTGGAAGAAAAGCTTCCTGCTGATGAAAGAAAAGGAAAACCCATGTTTAACCCACTCCAGAAGCATCAGGAGGTGAGCAGTTCTGGGCAGATGGCAAGATAGATTTAGCGTGTCATCTTCTTCTTCCCAAACAATATGGGAGACAAACAGCTGGAAAGGACTTTGTGCAGGATAGTTCCAGTAAGCAGCCAAACTTCCAGGGATTCTCTGAAATCCCAGGAATTTTTATACCTAGGAATAAGGATTGGGAAGACACAGAACTGCCTGGGTAAGAATCTTCAAATGAAAGGCAGAGAGTCCCTCAAAGGTGCTCTAAGTTTATGTTTACTGCCTCATCCAAACCCAGCAGGTACTTGTCTTTATGCCTCTGTTTCACTTTGTGCTGGGATTCTGGAGTCCTGGGCTGTGTCCTTAATGCAGATTCACTGTGTCTCTTACAGGAAATTTATTTCAGCTCCATGCAGACCTTATTTGTACAGTAAGAATAATTCTGACTCACTTCACAGGGAGAGCAGGAGGATTAATCAACAATTGTGAGGGACCACAGAAGTGCTAAACATTATTAATGGCTCCCAAGTTTTCTTCTTTTGGAAACAGTGGCCATTTCTTCACATAATGTTTTTAACAGTTGCTGCTCAAGGAGCTTAGATTGCAGATTCCTGGCTTGTGGTTTGTCCATAAATCACAGACTTGGAGCCTGCCCAAGACACTCTCCATGGTCTCAGCAGGAAGTCTGGACGAGAGAAAACTTTGTTTTCAGTCTGGCCCCATGAACCACTTTATGGCCAGTCCAGTTTCAAGATCCCAAGCCAGACGTGAGAGGGATTCTGTCCAAGTTTAAAAGCACGAGGTCTCTGGAATGTCCCTTCAAACTGGTTTCACTGCCTGTAAATATTTTCCATCTTCTGCCCTGGAGGATATAGGTTTGACTCCACAGCTGATGAGCCTGGGCAGAGCAGGAGAGGAGGCCACGCTGTTTATCACCAAGTTTGTCAGCACACAAGGTTTAATTTGTAGAAAAATGAACAAAAAAAAATCCCCCAAACCCCAAAAACCAACCACAAGAAAAGGAGTCGGGCAGCAGTTAATAGGGTCCCAGTACAAACCAAACCCAGTAGATCCGTTTTCTACACTAGGCAGGGTTCAGCATTGCTTTACAGCCAGGACATGAAACAAGCTCCATGAGATTTCTCCAGGTTGGAGATCCCCAATTCCCTTCCTGGTAGAGCAAATGCTGAAGGACACAACTAGCCCATTCTGGGCACTTCCCAGCACCATTCCCACGTGCTGCATTCTCTGGGTTCACCACAATGTGCTGCAGACACCAGGAGCACTCTGGCTGCAGGAAGAGCACAGGCCAGATGGAAACTGCTTGGTGATACAACACATCTGAGGATGAGTAATGTAATGTCCAAGTGGAGACCACGGGAGCTGGGAGAGAACAGGAGCTGGAAGAGCACAGCTGCAGCTTCACCACCACAAACAGTGCTGCAGTTCTGATGCAAGATCCATACAAGCCTCCTCTGCTTACACAGCACGTGTCAAGGTTGTGCAGGAAGTGAAAAGCCAGGTTCTAGTGAGCTTCCTACACCTCCCTTTTGCCATCATGTTTGGAACAACTCATCCTTTTCACTGCTTTTTTCACCAAAGAGCCTCTGTTGCCCTTTCAGACACGGAGTCATCACAGAAGACCAGCTTCCACCTGTGTTCCTATCAGCACTTCAATACATCCTCCTTTCCCACTAGGATCTGCTCTGTTAGCCAGGCTCATCATCCTCACACACCAGCCCTCCCTCCAGGTCTTTGCACAACAAAAGGGAAAGCTGAGCTTGAGGTGAGGACCCCGAGCCTGCTGGTGTGTGCAGTGATGAAGCTTAGACAAAGCAGTGTGATAAAGTGTATGAGATTTGGGCCAAAGCACTCTCCTTGTCCTGCTGCTACTGCTCCTTCCTGCATCCCAGGACCATCACCACCTCTCACCGTGTCTGATGGGCACAGGGACACAGGGCAGGTGTGCACTCCAGGAACAGAAATCTTATTTGATATTTTAATCACAAATCTCTCGTGGCAAAAAAATTAGCACCTCAAGGGCTGCTGGAATTCCTGGAGGATTCCCAGGATGGGGAGGTTAAAGATGTGTCAGTTTATGACCAACTCACAAACAAGCACGCTCTGCTTCTCACTGCAGCAAAGGTTACAAACCAGCATCCAGCTCAGGCATTGTATCAACAGCTGCTATTTTGAGGCACTTTAACAGGTGAGCAGCTTGCAGGATACCACACTCACCTGCTGTGCTGCTCAGGAATCACCAAAGGTTGAAATTCCTTCAGTGTGTGTTAGAATCACAGGATTGTTTAGGTTGGAAAAGTCCTCAAAGATCCTCGAGGCCAGCTATGAGCCCAGCACTGCCATGGCCACCACTAACCCATGTCCCCAGGTGCCATATTCACATGGCTTTTGAATCCCTCCAGGAATGGTGACTCCACCACTGCCCTGGGCAGCTGTGCCAGGGACTGACCACCCTGTCAGTGAAGAAATTCCCCCAGTACCCAACCTAAACCTCCCCTGGCACAACTTGAGGCTGTTTCCTCTTGTCCTGTCCCTTGTTCCCTGGGAGCAGAGCCCGACCCCCCCCCCAGCTCTCCCCTCCTGTCAGGGAGTTGCAGAGCCAGAAGGTCCCCCCTGAGCCTCCTTTTCTCCAGGCTGAGCCCTCCCAGCTCCCTCAGCTGCTCCTGCTGCTCCAACCCCTTCCCCAGCTCCGTTCCCTTCTCTGAACCTGCTCCAGCCCCTCAATGTCTCTCTTGTTTTGAGGGGCCCAAAACTGACCCCAGCATTCGAGGTGGGGCCTCAGCAGTGCCCAGCACAGGGAGACAGGCACTGCCCTTGTCCTGCTGCCACACTATTCCTGATGATACATTAGCAGGGATATAGGATGTAGGAGGTGGCTCCTTGTTCTTCTCAACACCCTCTAAACTGTCAAGTTAGTTCCTCTTCTGCATCTGAACAAAACCAAAATTTTAGGTGATGTTGATAAAACTTCTCAAATGGTCCCCTGTGCAGCAGGACCCTTTTTAACTCCTCTGAGCACAGCCAGGCTTCCTGTAGCTTAAAGAGCTGGAGGTTGTCCTGTCCAGCACAGCATCCAAACAGTTAACCAAATCCAGTTCCTGCATCTTAATCTGGCAATTTAAAGATAAGCTAAACAAATATCAGGGCTGCTCAGAGCCCCACTGAGCAGGAGAAAGGATTCTTATAAACCAGTTTGCATGGTGTAAACCTGACACACAGAGGGAATCTAGTGTGGCATTTCTGTCTGAACAGCCACTGCTCCTTAGAAATGATTCAAAGGGGCAAATTCCATTTCCAAAGACAGGGTTCATAGCTACAGATTCTCCTGCTTTCCCTCCACAC